ACAGCAGGTTCATAGCTTGAACTTTATTAAAACACTAACACAGAGACTTTACCTCAGAATAGCGCAGATCACTATGGGCGGCAGCTAATCTTAAAACAAACAGCTCAGGGGAGAGTGGAAAATGTCCTGCCGCAATATCACTGTGGATGAAAACAGCCCCCCTTCCCATTGGCCTCTTTAAAAGGCCTCCATTGTACGAGAGCCATCGCCATGGCTACTGTCGGCCAACTGTAAGCCTTTCAGAATTATTAGCATTCTTCCTGACTCTCGGCACTGTAGCAGAGCCCCTCGCTATTCCAGAAAACCAACCAGATAAAAAACGCACGTCTCAGAATTACTAACAGAACTTTCCATCTTGCTCCCCTCAAAATTAATTAAATTTGAATTAAAAAAGGTTGAAGTGGAGAAGGTGAAACCTCATACTAACTAAACACCCAGGGTTTGCGTAAGGTTCCTGTTGAAAAAACCAGCATATGCTATCCCAGCGTCAAAACATACCTAACCAGCATATGCTGGTTTTTTCAACAGGGGTGTATGGAGAAAACAATGACAGCGTTTAAAAATCAGAATCAGTCCCAAACAGATGCAATTTGATAGGAAGAAGTGATAAAAGCTTCCTCTTCAATGCAAATTTAAGCTTTTGTCTTAACCAGCTTCAGCTGCGACAGATGTCAGAACATTTGTGAATTTGCTGGAGAGCTGCTTTATAGTTGAAATTGGTATTGTAATTATAACATTTCCGGTTTCTTAATTAAAGGAGCTGCATCTAAGTTTTACTTGTTCATTTATTTATTAACCTTAAAATGCGGTTTCAAAATCATTCTGATGGTAAATTGACTTCTAATAAGGTGAATGAATGGCTTCTGTTTCTTACTCTCCCTTCAAATGTCTGTTCTGTTAGTGTAAGTTTTGAAATTGTGTGAAAAGGGCGAATTGCTTTATGGCAGCAACAAATTCACGCGTACAGCTATGGACTGTAATTACGACAATATACAAGAGTGAATCTGTCTCCAAAGTTGCAAAAATACACAAAATTACATAGCTGTATTGTATAAAGCGCATGACAAAACTGTAATTAACAGGAGTGCCAAATTGCAGATCTGGTGCAAACATATTCACATGATCCTTAAGATGTAGATATATGCTTTCTTAACTGCTCTTTTCTCACAGCTGTCATTTTTATTGTGTGTTCGCTGTGTTATTGAGAGAAAAACATATACAATTCACAGTTTTCACAGTCACGTGACTGGCTCGAAGACCTGGAGGGCAAATCATTCATAGAACTGCAGCACAAGCCTGTCATTTTTTAATGATTATTTAGATCACCTCTCAAAAAAAAAAAAAAAAACTACATGAA